TGACTGACTTCAACAACTCTCTGTAGTAGAGAATTCCAAAAGTTCACAACCCTTTGAGTAAAATAATTTCTCCTTAGTCATTTGGGTCTCTAATTCTGGGAGATTTCTTGTATCTTCCTCAGTTAAAAATGGATGAAAAGTAATCATTTAGCTTCTCTGTCATTTCATTATTCCTCATTATAAACTCTCCTTACTCTGCTTTTAATGGACCCACATTTGTTTTACCGAAATGTTTCCTTTTTCTGTACCTCTAGAAACTTTTATGGTCCCATGTTTGTTTGGTTTTGGTTATAGAAGTTAGATTTGTTTAGATAGAACTTTGCTTTTTGATTCAAACAGTTGATAAACTTCTCTTCCTCTGTCACTGCTACCAAAGAAGGGAGCTAAACTGTTTTGAGATATCAGAGTGGTTGTTATAAGCAACATTACAAAGGTGGGCCAAGGCCTTGGAAGTGGATTTGGAGTCGAGGTGGGGACATGAACAAAATTTGAGAAAAATGCTTTATGCTGGTTTGCTGATGCACTTACCTCTTGTTGCTTTTCCAACGGTCAGGTTGAGTCCAATAAACTCTTCCTTCCTCCCTCCGGCACCAGTGGAGACATTTAGATAAATAACTGCAATCTTCCACTCACATTGGAGTTTTCCCAGGATTGCATAAGCCCCATCGCAGTGTCAGCAACACGGGAAGTGACTGCCCAGTGTGAGGCTGGAGTGGCGTGAGAGTTGAAAACTTTGCAGCCTTTGAAGGCAGAATAAGGCCAGGCTGATCGCGTGGTGGAGGCGTGATATTCTGCAGACAGGTATCTCTGATTGTGCTGGGGTGATGAAGTGACATTTGAGCACATTTTCTGTGAGTCCTTTGGAAGATATTCTTGGCTGATCAAGATCTCTATCTTGAGCCAAAAACAGACACAAGGTACACTTCCTTGTGCAGTGAAACGAGATCTAACTGTATTGTACGCTGATTTGTGTAGTCAGGTGCATTCATGATGGTATCATTTCACCAAATACTTATTAAACAAGGAAACACACATGTAGGGCAACAAATCTGAACGTGTGACCATACCTAACACTCGGGTCACTGATTTATTCAAGACATTCAACTTTAGACCAAAATGCAAAGGAATTTTGTGGTAACTGGTAGTATCCCTACCTCTAGGCCAGGAGGTCCAGGTTCAAGTCCCACTTGTTCCAGAGGTGTGTAATAACATCTCTGAACTGGCTGATTCGAAGATATCTTAAACCAAAATGCAAAACTCCAGAGAATTGTGACAGTGTAAGAGATTGAGTATCTAGATATAGTATTCAGCGAGAATTTAGCCACAAGTTGCTAAGGGACTTGGGGATGTAGGATCTTGTGCGTACCTGTTGCTTGTAATACATTCTTTCGGATTATATCATTTCTGGGCATTGTGGGGGTTAAGAACAGTACGTCATTTAACTTAGTGCTATTTGTAAAATCACAAGCAAGAAAAAAGCTCACTGTGTAAAGCTATTTTCTTCAATCTATTATAGCAGATATTTAGGCTGCATTTGTACCCCAGTTCTAGCACTGCTACAAAAGAAAACCACTCTGCATCAAATCCTCCAAGTTGCAGTGTACGCGCAGCCTTAAGTACTTTTTATTTCACTTTAGCTTTCATGCGCAACCTGCAACCACCAATCCTACGTGCTCTCTTCCTCTACAGCTCCCAGATTCTCACCCATATCTCAGCCCATGACACAAGTATGATCCTGAGTTAGGAGTGTTTGATAGGAACAACGATGGGAGAGTCTTGGGAGAGCTTGACTGTATGCTGTAATAATGGTGTGAACATATATTAATAACATTTGGATTTTTCAAATCGAGGCAGACGGATTTTAATTTCTGTTCTGTGCAGCTAACTTTTCAAAGAAGTCAGAAAATCATTCGGAAAAGTAACCAAAATGTATTATTTCCACGAAAGCATGTGACTAAGTAACTACTTGGCCAGATAAAGTGTTTGTGGTGCTGGGTTTATGTCAAACAGAAGAAAAAAAAACAAATAATCAAGGGGCACCACTACTTTAATTTGAATTCAGTTCAGACAAATAAGCTTTCAGTTTTATCTGAGCAAAAGAATCTGGTTTTCAGCTCAGGTGTGCAGTTTCACTCTGGCAGATGGCCAGGTTAGTTTGCAAAGTCTCCAGGCAGTGAGAAGTTCGGCTCGAGGTTGTCAAACTGCCAGAACCCATTATATGTAATGAAGTTGGAGAGCGCTCAGAAGAGAATTTACCAGGATGTTGCCAGGATTTGGGGGTTTGAATTAGAAAGAGAGCCTGGATGGGCTGGGACTTTTTTCACTAGAGCGTAGGAGGTTGAGAGGTGACCTTATAGAGGTTTATAAAACCATGAGGGCTATAGGTAAAGTGAATGGCAGGTGTCTTTTCCCTGGGGGTAGGTAGATTTCAAGACTAGGGGACATATTTTAAGATGACACCAGGGAGTGGCAACACTATGCAACACTTTTCACTGTATTTTGTAACAAGACATATGTGACAATAGATAAATCAAATCACATCAAATCAAAATAATTTTAAGTTGAGAGGAGAAAAAGATTTTAAAAAAAGACATGGGTTTTTTTTTTACACAGAGTGGTTCATGCGTGGAATGAACTTCCAGAGAAAGTGGTAGATGTGGGTACCGTTATAACATTTATAAGACATTTACTAAATAAATGAGTAAGAAGAAATTTGGAGGCATATAGACCAAGTGCAGGCAGGTGGGACTACTTTATTTGGGAATATGGTCGGCATGGATTGGTTGGATTGAAGGGTCTGTTACCGTGCTGTATGACTCTGACTTCAACTGAAAGGAGGTTTAGGCTATTAGAACTGGGAGGAAATTTTAACCAGTTTCATCTCTCCAAGAAGAAGAACTGGAAAGAGTCAGTTAAGTTAGAAGCTAAGGAGTTAAACCAGGATTGATATTTCCCTGGGTTTGAGTCTCTGAAAGGGAGGAAATGGTTTAGAAGGGATCTGAGGAAAACATTTTTTACCCAGAAGATGGGAGAATGGAATGCGCTGCCCGAGACCGTGGTGGAGGCAGGTATTGCTATAACATTTAAGGAACACTTAAAATGCCAGGGCATTGTAGGCTATGGATAAAGTGTAGGTAAATGGGATTTGTGTAGTTTGGTATTTGTTGGTTGGCATGGACATGGTGGGCTGAAGGGCTGTGTTCTACGCTGTGTGACTCTCTGACTGTTGAAGGCAACAATGTCTTCTGTAATATACTTTCACAAAAGCTGTGGATGTCAGAGGCTCTGATAAGTGGTCCAGAACAAAGATCTACAAAATGAGTGCCAGAAGATCATTCTACCATGCAAAACATTACTATTTCATGTTCAATCTTTTTCTTGTGTTGTGCCACGTTTGCATACTTTGTATCATGACTACTGATCAGCAGTCAGAAATGGGGTCCTTAATTTAAGCTTTTTTTTTCCTATTCTCTGCCTAACCTCGGAGCACAATTGCAGTACCTGCACTATTGGCCTGACTGACATCTTCAAACTTTGCACAGACCTGAAACTTTAACTTGGGATTTTCACCTGCCTTATAATGATCTAATTCTGTGTTACAACTCAACTGTTTTGGAACGTCATCATGAATATTTTTAATGCACTTTTGGTTTGTTAATTACAAGGAATAATTTTTTTTTTTGAAGACAGCATGTCAGAATATGCTGAGAGAAAACAGTGTAACATCTCTCATACCTGCTGTGAAAGAGTCACTGTTGCTTTTGGAAAGTATGTTGTAAATATATAAGATTGTCTTCCTTTCAATTCCTTCCTACAGACTATCCAGTCTCCTACCTCTTACTACCTGATGTGACATGATTTAGTGAGTGATGGAACAAGCTTGATGGGCCAAATAACCTGCTTCTGCTTTTGGACATTTTGGAAGAATTTCTAGTGCCAAGCTTCAAAAAGCTGAAGTTGGTAGAAAATTTTCACAAACCATTGAATAGGTTCTTTTACAGGATTCATGCATATTATTTCAGTAGGTTTAAAATGGGCATGCACAAATCTGTCTTCCTCTCATTGTCCTGCTTTTAACTTATTCCTCTGCATTTACATGTGTAGTCATTCCTGTTTCTCATTGCTCTGTTTTAAGTTACTTTTGTCTTTCTCTGCGTACCCCATCCCGGGTTTCTACCTGTTTGTGTATTTAGGTGGTTGGTGTATGATTGTTCTCCACTGTAGTAGGGAACTGTATATCACAAAGTCTGATGCACTTCCAGCTCCTACTTTTAGGAAATCTATGTGAGCAACAAAGCCTAAATATATCAACATCTAATTTTTTTCTTTGCATAGGCCTGTTTCTCTTAAGTTGAATGAAGACAGAGCTAAAATATTGCATTTTGTTGTCTGGATGATGTGAAAGGGGTAGATTTCAGCATCACAGAATGGAGAGAAATGCTAAAGTGAATTTGACTTGCTTAAATGTTTCAACTTTATTTAGCTTTATATGAGGTATTAGTCTTCTTTCAAAACTCGTTATGTTGTGGCAGTAAGAATAAAATGCACTTTCCAGATGCAGCCGAACCAGGACATTGCATGTTGGATCTTTCTGAAGTTATGTAGCTTCCAACTTGAAGTTCAGTTTGTCCTGGTGAAAACATTAAGTTGTCTTTGTAAGATCCTGGCTGATTCCTTGGAGTTAATTTTCTATCCATACTGTCACTACTTCTGCAAATTTTAACAACTTGCCTGTACGGTGACAAATCAATTAATATATGAAAATCAAAAAAAAACCGTGTACATCAGTAACATTCCTCTAGGCATTGTCCTTATTGAAAAAGATTTTCATTACAGTCACTTTCCATTTAGCCAAATGTGCATCTTGGTCTTGTTCATGGCCTGAAGTTTAAATACTTCACTTTGATGTTCAGATAAAATTGCCGAAACAGTTTATCCTACTTTAATCCCATATTATTTGTACTAACATCGTTTGATTGTCTAAATCTGTTTTCCTGCAGTTCATTAAAGAAGATATGAAAGACAAAGATCCTACCAGTAAAGGCAATAAATTCCATAAAGAAGACAAGCACATCACAGTGAGAGATTTGTGGAACCACTGGAAAAACTCAAAAGGTAGGATACTACAGTGGCTGAATGAGAATAACTATCGATAAAATATATCTTATATCGATAAGAATGGAAGGTACTGTATCTCTGCAGTGTTGGGCAGGATGATTTTTATATTATCATCCACTGAAACCCTGTGTGGACACAGCAAAGTTTAAACAAAAAAAAGTTCAAGGTTGGTAACTGATTAAACAATTTGTCTTTTTTTCTCCCCCATGTTGATATGACTTAACATTAAAATTTATGCAGTCTTCTGATATCAGCAAGTGAAACTTTGCTCGTGCATTTAGATAAACATAACCAGGTAGAGTAGTGGCTGCCTAACCCTTGTCTATTGCCTTTAGAGGGTTCTAGATGCTTATTAATCCAGTTGGTTCCTGTAAATATTTTCTATGCAATGCCTTACTTAGATGCCAGCTGATCATGTGACTGTAGACAGCTAAATAACTGTATTTATATTCTAATCAATCTGTTTAGAGACATTATTACATAACTCTAGAGCAGGTGGGAATGCTTTAACTAGACCAGATGAAAGTGACTGAACATGGTTTTCAGTTAATATGAGTGCTAATTGCCATTCACCGCTTTAATTTCTGAATAAAAATGAAAGGGAGCTATAATCACAGTTGTGTTTGCAGCTATTCCGCTTACTTTGGAAGACACACCAATACAATTGATGTTTGTGTGTGGACTTGCACTGTAATTCTAGTAAGATATTTACGTTAACTGGTCTTGAGTTCCACTGCTTACTATAATAGAGCTCCTATCCGGAAATCTAAAAGAGGAAAAAAAAAGTATCACAAAGCTTTCATTATAACAGAAGTTTGGAATAGCCAATTTCTGCAGAGACCTCTCCTGTGCTAAATGAAATCTACATGATTGACAGAGCAAATTGAATGGATAGATTTTAAGATTAAAATCTCATGACAAGTGTGGCATTGTGTTGGAGACAATTTTATTAAAATGAAAAGGAACAATGTAATTAGAGAGTCAAATACTTTGTTCGGAGTAGTGACTAATGGTTTCCTGGATATTGAGGGTAAACTGTTCTCTCTTCGCTGGTATTAAACTGCTAAAGAATCACAACAAAGTATAGTTTTAAGGTGAAAAGGGTTGCACAGTATTTAGAGTACAGTTTGCGAGATGCAATTCAGTCCCCATTTTAAAATCATACATCCTGTCCTTATTTTATGTTTCAGTTATAATTTCCTTTGTGCACATTTCTAGTATGAGCTGCCCTCATTAATTTGTCAGCTGTAGTTTACCTTCCTGACTGTAATGGATACAACACTCTCACCTGGGACGGCATATCATTCATGTTGAGAACCTCCATTCTAAATGTGAGGAATGCAATTTGCAATTGAAAAACAATACAGGTGTGAGGATTGAAATGTATTAAAATTTGTATAATATAAATAATCATTGGATTTAGCTATTTTTGTGCATTTCCAGCATTAGGATTGCAACCCACTGAGCGCTATGACTGGAGTTAATATTGGTAACCTCCTATTAGTGATGTGACTAAAGATCAACATCAGTTTATCCTGTTTACAGGGCCATGCACCAGATATAGCTGCCCCCTCATATAACTAGACACATTGGAGTCTGACATCAAATGAGTGGTTGCACAATCTTATTCTTAAAGGTGCAGGACTCGCATGGCACAAAGCCACACCAAACTAGAAGGTTCTTCCGCTAAATTCTTGATTTGCTCCGTTTTAGTTCATCTCAGTTAATACAGCAGCATGACAATCCAAACCAGTTTTAACCAGTTTTTTTCTGACCATTCCTCAGCGACCCTTAACCTGGAAATGTGTGTGGCATTTATAAGCCGCGTGAAAACAAGTGTTTAGGTTGGCTGTCTGACATGTATTCCAATAATGGATTCACATATGAAGAATGATGAGTTAGGAGTCGGTGTGACCAGTGCATATGGAACCTTATCCCAGTATGAGTTGGCATCTTTTAAGTTGAGATTTGGAAAATGAGCAGTAAGTCCAGTTGATGTCCATATTAAACTTGCAAGAATAATGAAGACCAAAAATCATGCAATAAAAATACGTTTAGTTTTTTTTGCATCTGTTATTAAATGTATTAATACACTTCACCTTTTGTGTCATTGCAAATTCAGCTGTAATTGAAAACGTAACTTACGGCTTTGTGGCCAGAATCATTTTGTGTTTTTGAAGGGAGATCAGGTACCACAGTGTTAATATTATCAACGTTGCAGGGCAGAATGAACTGATAAGAAATTGTCAAACTGTTTTGCAACACAGGAATTCCCTTTTCCATTGAAGCCAGTAAGTTTTTAAAAATAATAAGACAAACAGCTTTCATAAGAACTAGGAGCAGGAGTAGGCCATCTGGCCCCTCGAGCCTGCCCCGCCATTTAATAAGATCATGGCTGATCTATTTGAGACTCAGCTCCACTTACCCGCCCACTCACCATAACCCTTAATTCCTTTACTGTTCAAAAATTTATCTAGCCTTGCCTTAAAAACATTCAGCGAGGTAGCTTCAACCGCTTCACTGGGCAGGGAATTCCACAGATTCACAACCCTTTCGGTGAAGAAGTTCCTCCTGACCTCAGTCCTACATCTGCTTCCCTTTATTTTGAGGCAATGCCCTCTAGTCCTAGTTTCACCTGCTAGCGGAAACAACCTCCCTGCCTCCACCTTATCTATTCCCTTCATTATCTTATATGTTTCTATAAGATCTCCCCTCATTCTTCTGAATTCCAATGAGTATAATCCCAGTCTACTCAGTCTCTCCTCATAATCCAACCCTCTCAACTCTGGAATCAACCGAGTGAATCTCCTCTGCACGCCCTCCAGTGCTAGTATATCTCTTAAGTAAGGAGACCAAAACTGCACACAGTACTCCAGGTGTGGCCTCACCAGGACCCTATACAGCTGCAGCATAGCCTCCCTGTTTTTAAACTCCATCCCTCTAGCAATGGCAGACAAAATTCCATTTGCCTTTTTAATTACCTGCTGCACCTGCAATCCTACTTTTAGCGATTCATGCACAAGGACACCCAAGTCTCTCTGCACAGCAGCGTGCTGCAATTTTTTACCATTTAAAACATAGTCCATTTTGCTGTTATTCCTACCAAAATGGATGACCTCACACTTATCAACATTGTACCCCATCTGCCAGACCTTTGCCCACTCACTGAGACTATCTATATCCCTCTGCAGACTTTCAGTGTCTTCTGCACACTTTGCTCTACCACTCATCTTAGTGTCATCTGCAAATTTTGACACACCACATTTAGTCCCCAACTCCAAATCATCTATGTAAATTGTAAACAATTGCAGTCCCAACGCTGATCCCTGAGGCACACCACTAGCCACTGACTGCCAACCAGAAAAACACCCATTTACCCCTACTCTTTGCTTTCTACTGGTCAACCAATCCTCTATCCATGCCAATACATTACCTGTAATACCGTGCAACTTTATCTTATGTAGCGGCCTTTGGTGTGGCACCTTATCACATGCCTTCTGGAAATCCAGATACACCACATCCACAGGTTCCCCATTGTCCACCATGCAAGTAATGTCTTCAAAGAATTCCACCAAATTAGTTAAACATGACCTACCCTTCATGAACCCATGCTGGGTGTTTCCAATGGGACAATTTATATCCAGATGTCTTGCTATTTCTTCCTTAATGACAGATTCAAGCATTTTCCCCACTGCCAAAGTTAAGCTAACTGGCCTATAGTTAGAGATAGTAGGAACTGCAGATGCTGGAGAATCTGAGATAACAAGGTGTAGAGCTGGATGAACACAGCAGGCCAAGCAGCATCATAGGAGCAGGAAGGCTGACGTTTCGGGCCTAGACCCTTCTTCATTTCTGAAGGGTCTAGGCCCGAAACAT